ATCTCAAGGTAACACTAATACTACTGCTAACAATAAAAAAAAATTATTCAAACTTAATTTTTTAAGGAATAATCACAATTTTTCTTCCATGTGTTAATTTTAACTGCAGCACCAAAAATGAAAGGGTTTGTTTAATTTTCATTTGATTAAAATATTAATTCAACTGTTCCATGTTTTATGCCTTTATATGATTACGAAACACTGAATTTCTGAAGAAAAAAAAAACATATTACATATTATGTATTATTAGATTAAACATATTACATATAACATATTATTCTAAATAAATAGATAAATAAATAATGAATTCAACTGATCAGAGATTCTTTTTGATTATTAAAATGTAATAAAATCATTCAAATGGAATCCAGAAAAATAAAAATGGAAAACACAGGATTTAGTAAAAATAGAACAGAATTTGAGAAAAAATTATATGTATTTCATAGTGCCCTAAAAAAAATTTTTTTTTTCAACTTTTAATAAACTGTGTAAGTTTCACGATCTCAGTAAATTACAAATTCTTTTTAATTACTAACATTTTATGCAACTACTAAAAAGCAGTCTAGAAAGAAAGAACAGTAAAAAATGTAATCCAGAAAAATTAAAACACAAAAAACTGAATTTTGAAGAAAAAAAAAAAAAAGTGGAAAAATTTCACAGGGCCCTAAAAACCCACAAGAAATTGCAAAGTAATAAATTAGGCTTCTGGATTGACCAGAAATGACTCAACAGCTCTATTAGTGCGTCTACATTCTAGGATTTTTGCTTACAAACGGATGGAAGTGCACGAAGGACTAATTTAGTTTCAAATACCTTCAGATTTTTCAAAAAATTCAGATTTTTTCCCCCTCCTTAAATGTACATAATTTAAATCACCCTCAGTCTAACAAAGATTTCCTTCTAAGAAGCGTCTGCATAAAACAACTGCGTTTGAGCTAAACGAATAAAAGTAAATGTCAACATATTTACCCAACAAAATGACAGAAATAGAGAGAAAGAGAGAGCGAGACACAGGGTTTGGTACCTCTCCATCTGTAGTTCTGATGAGCATTAGTGTCGGCTCATATCCCTCACAATGTGAATAAAACCTGAATAAAACAACACAAACCATATTTAAAAGAAGCTCACTCAGATTTAAAGACTTCTGACTATTAACTATTACTCACGATGACTTCTTGAAGAATATACTTGTGCATAAAGAATATCTTTGAAGAATATGCATTGATATTATAGTCATCTAATGCAATGACATATTTGTAGGTGTTTTGTGGCCGCTGTATAAGCGTTCAGGTGCGTGGTTTTGTACCGGTTGAGGCTGCAGCCGTGTGTGGATGTGGTGAAGAGCAGCTGCGGCTGACATAAAGCGAAACGCTCCGGGATCCACGACCAGATATCTCTGATCTCTTTCGCACTGACGATCTCCGAGCTGAAATTATCAGCGTTCACCGCTAACTGGACATTTTGTCTAGAGAGATAAAAAAGAGAAAATGCAAAAATGATTTGACAATAATGCATATTTCACTGTGCATCAGTAAAGAAACACAACAGAAATAAATGAGTCAGAAATAGTCTGACAAACAAAAGTGAGTGATGATGACGATGATGATGAGATGAAGATACCCACCTTTTGATAGAGCTAAAGAACAGCACAGAGAGTAGAGAGCAGGAGAAATGGAAAAAAGAGAACTGTGACACAATGCAAACTAAATGAGGGAATAAAAAACACAAAAGCGAATCAGAGGGAAGTTGTACAACAGAGCCAAACACAAAAGATATAATTAGACATAAATACTTTAAGGTGAACAGACAATGCCATAAATACCTCAGAAATAATGACTTCTTTGTAATAGGATAGTAATTAGTATTCTACAGTACTGTATACTACCTACTATAAACATTTCAAACAGTAACAGCTACACTGTTGTCACATGAGAGAAGATCAAATTAAGATCAAATAAAAAAGAGAGACTTTTGAAAGTCTCTTATTAACACCAAGAGTACAGTTATTTGCTCAAATACAGGAAAATCTATATATTTATATATAATAAATAATTAAAACTATTCGAATGCAGTTTAAAATGTAATTTATTGGTGTGATGCAAAAAATAAAAATTGTTTAAAAATCATTCAGACCTTAAACTTTTGAACAGTAGTGTACATGTTTCGTTCAGTTAGTAGCATCCAGTTGAGTCTCAGAAGTAAAGTTATATTTTGGATTTTTAGTCCACTTTTTTGTAATTTTGTGTAGTTTTTTGAATACCGTAAATTAAGCAGGAGAAGTTTAAAATCATTTCTATTTCATGTCAAGCACATAAATATTCACACACCTTTTGACCACTTAATTTATTATAGACAAATACAGAAAACACTTATAGAAATGCTGCTGGAGTGATATATATTTAAATATAAAATTAAAGGGATTTCAATTCATTAATACATTTGATTAAAATAAATAAATTTATATTTAAATACATAATAAACAAATAAATAAAAAATAATGAAAATAATGAAAAATAAATAAAAGCACAAAAATAAATTTAATTTGAATTTAATAAATAATAAAAAATGAATAAAATAATGAAAACTAAATAAAAACATTTGAATTAAAACATAAAAATAAATTACATTTTATTTAAATAAATAAACAACAATCTAACAGTACACTACAACAGTGAGTAGAAAAAAAATGCAATCATGTAACGTAATCGTCATCAATACCTCTTCTGTTTGACAGTGATGCCTTTCTGCTGGAGTGATTTCTCATTGGCCAGCTGGAGCAGCGTGATCTCTTTCCGGCTGAACAGGCGAATGGAAAAGGCCTTTTCCAGGAGCTTATCCGGCGTCACGCTTTTCCCGATGTTCTGCACAAATGCCTGGATATCGCTCCTGACCGCTGCCGAGTCCTGCTTGGTTAGGGCCGAGCCTGCGGCGGCGCACTGCTTGCGGTAGAACTTCAGTATCGCCAGCGCCACGCGGTAAAGGACCTTATACCCCTCCACCAAGTAAACGTCCATCACACGCGCGGCGAAGCTGAAGGGCAGGTCGCCCAGAACCCATCGCTGCCAATCAGAGTAAACCTCCAGCACGTCTGTCGCTGTGGCGACCATCAGCTTATGCGCGGCCGGGCAGTATTTATGCACGAGGTCGCCGAAGGTCATGCAGGCCGACTGATACGCGAGGAAAGTCTGATCTAATAAACGGCGCCCGGGTTCGTTGCAGGCCAGCATGCGACTGACGCTCTCGAAGCACTGCGCTTCATCGGCGCTCCAGTGCAGCAGCAGCGCCGTCACCGGCGGCAACGACGGGCAGTGCGATATATCTGGGAACTGCCCTGCGATGGAAGAAAGGACAGCATGCACTGATCCAACAGATTCGGCTTTCAGACAGTAGCATGGCACCGCCGTCCCATCCACAAACTCTGGCAATGGGTAAGCGGATGGGTTGCGCTTGCTGTTGGAATTGCCCACGATGTCCCGGTAGACCGCGGCGTCCGGCGTGACTGTGCGACACGGGAGCGCTTTGAGCAGCTGCTGATAAACGGCCGAGCGCTGGCTGTGATTTTTGGCCCACTGGCCCGAGCGGGCGTGCTGCTTCAGCTCCTTTAAGTCTTTATATTCGATCTTACCGGGAGCCGCGTCGCGACTCACATCGCCCATCTGAGACCAGTCCACGAACACGCCACAATCCACAGCCATGACCTCTGACCTCACGCGTCAAACAGCACAAGAAAGGACAGAGAGAAACTAGCCAGTCATATTGCTCCAGCTGTTGAGAGAGGGAAAGAGAGAGAATGACAATATTAATGACAAACCAGTAAATATTAGGGATGCACAATACAACAATAACCATATCCAAGAATGCATGAACTCATTTAAAGAATGTATCCATTGAATGCATTGTAAGTAAATAAAAGCACTGCCTAATGCATGAATGTAAAATATAAATGCAATATCAGTATCAACCAATATTAGCATTTGTATTAGGGCTGGGTTTTGACACAAATTTCACGATTCGATTCAATTCTCATTCACAAGCTTGCAATTTGATTCGATTACCAGTTCGATTCGATTCAATATCGATTATTGGATAAATATCAGGTACAGTACATGCCAAATTTTCACAAGGAAAAAAAATCTATCAACTAAAGCTGTCAGATATACATGAGAGTCAGTTGGTACTACATTACTATAATATTAAAAGGTTCAAATTGACTGATTTGTAGGCTAATATACAACTGCTAAAATTACACTTAATGAAGTTTTTAAAACAATAAAGTTACAATTACATAATAATAATTACAGCTAATACTGGAAATACAGCAGGTTATATCAAAATGCTTTAACATGTCTTTGGTTAAAACATAAACATTTTGTTTGGGGTATAATACATTTTTGCAGTGCTGGGTATTTAGGGTTGCAAAATGTCAGCACATTTTTTTTGATACAGTAAGTTAAAGTTTTGAATTCATAATACAAACGTATTAGCAAAAATAACATATTTCAACCAGTAAAGATGTAGAAAAGTTAAGAAATGTCATTATTTGAATTTAAATACTTTGAAATAGAATTTAGTCATTTTAATATAATTTCATTAAAAAAAGATGATCTATATAATCTATAATTATCATTTATCACTTTTCAATTGGTGCATCCCTAATAAACACACACACAAATCATAAAAAAACAACTAAAAAACATAAAAGGGTGTTTTCTTTTTCAACTAAAAATGCATTGATTTATATTTTTATAAAGAATTTCCATATTGCAAGATAGAAAATCTAGACACAAGAGAAAAAACATTTATTTAAGTCATATATATATATATATATATATATATATATATATATATATATATATATATATATATATATAAAAAAAAA